GATTAAAAAATGTAGACTATTGCAAAGTTGAGAGTCAGGGAATGCAGAACATTTGCCAAAAGTGGGTAAAAATTATAGTGCTCAGTAAAGATGTGTGTGACTTTTCAGCCATGGAACAAAAGGAACAAAGTTTCTTTTTCCAACTATGCCAAAACCCTTACCAAATATCAAATAATTAAACAGTTCAATTTTTTTAGAATACAAGACACATATTGAAAAAAAACCAAGTCTATGCATGGTTACCATTGTTTAAAAACAAACCTACATTAAAGATCAAGGGCAATATAAAATGTGTTATGTCTTACTCTCACTTATTCTCAAGTAAACCTCCTGCAAATCAATGTAACAAAATAAAGGATTTCCAAAATTAGCCAGTGTCTGTTCCTAGAAAGGTACTGGCAAATCAAAGTGGAAGGCCGATTCAAGACAGCACTAGGGACACTGTGTTTAAATGAGGGGTGGGCAAACTACGGCCCGCAGGCTGGATCCGGCCCCTCAGGGCTTTGGATCCAGCCCGTGGGCTTGCCACCCCTGTGCCGTTCCGGGAAATGGCTGGCACCACGTCCCTGCGGCCCTGGGGGAGGGGGGAAGAGGGCTCTGCGCACTGCCCTTGCCTGTGGATACCTCCCCCGAAGCTCCCATTGGCCAGGAATGGGGAACTGTGGTCAATGGGAGCTTCAGGGGAGGTACCCACAGGCAAGGGCAGCGTGTGGAGACCTCGGCCCACCGTCCCCCAGGGGCCACAGTGACGTGGTGCTGGCTGCTTCCCAGAGTGGTGCGGGGCCGAGGCCAGTGCGGGCAGGCAGGCAGAGAGCCTTCCCTGGCCCTGCTGCGTGCTGCTGCCACCCTGGAGTTGCTCCAGGTAAGCAGTGCTGGGCCGGAGACCGCACCCTGAACCCCTCCTGCAACCCAACCCCGAGCCCCCTGCTGCACCCCGCACTCCCTCCTGCACCCAAACCCCCTGCCCTGAGCCCCCGCCGCATTCTGCCTTCACCTCTCCTGCACCCCCACCCCCTTCCCTGAGCCCCCTCGTACATCCCACCCCCCTCCTCTGCCCCAACCCCTTGCCCTGAGCCCCTTCCTGAATACCGCACCCCCTGCCCCAGCCCTACATTTATGGCCCTGCATGCAATTTCCCCACGCCAATGTGGCCCTCGGGCCAAAAAGTTTGCTCACCCCTGGTTTAAATGAACTTTTCTTTCAAAATTAAACAATTAATATTGTCTATAGTAGGAGTTTAATACAGAAAAAAGTAAGCATCTAGGCCAGACCCTTCTCCTCTTATTCCATATAGTTCTATTTCAGCCAATAAAAATACTTTTATTACTAGCCGGTGGTGCTTTCATGATAATCGCATTTCCCTCATTATTCAGAGCACAACTTTTCTCTGGAATCCTGTGAAAAAGACTTAGGATCCAGCACTGCTGGTTTATATCTCCTGTTAGTAAGGACTGTAGGACCCAGCTCCAACGCTCCATAAACACTATTTTAATTGGTGGAAGGGCCTGTCTGCAAGTAAAAATTTATGCTATAATTAAAATTACACCAGGATGTAATATGTGTACTTGTGACATGTTTAGGTTTATAGCTCTTGTTTTAATATATATTTACTTTCTCAGAATAAAAATGGAAGTGATGTAGCATCCAAATGGTGTGGGTTCCAGGGAAAATAGTATAAATGTTTGCCCTTTCTCTACTCCACCAACCAAGCTATTCACAATTTTTTATTATTCTAATAAGTTTGTGCAAAAATTCAGCTTCACCATATCAACAACATACCAAACTACTGTAGACAAAATTCTGCCACCATCATTTTAATAAAACACATACCCCGAAGAATCAAAAAGTGGGTACTCAACCACATTGCCCCTGCCCCTAAAGTGTATATCCTGTTAGTCTGTCAGAAAGGGAGTTGTCAGATCACCACCTTGGTGGGAGGGGAGGGGGGAAGGAAGAGGGAGGGGGACGAGCTGGATTGGGAAACTGGAATCTTTGCTTCCCTTTCTTGAAGATCAGGAGGAAAAGTACAGAGGTGAAATCTTCAGTGCTCTTCCACAACGGCCCAGAGGATCGATGTAGGAACTGATAAGTCAATGGGGAAGAACATTCAGATTACTTCCCTATTGGCCAAGGGTAGCAGAGGTGGCAAGGGTAGATTAAAACATCACTCTTTTTCTCCATGGGCTAGGAGGATGGGAATAACTCCAGAAATACACCACAATGAATATAATTCTTTTCATTTACTAAAATAGCATTTGAATTAAAAAATATTAAATGTGAATATTGGAAAATTAATGCATGCTTCCTTTAATAAAAAAAAATACACCCACCCCCACCCCCAGATTCCAAACCTCATATCAACATTGGCAGGATTTTTGGGTGCTCAGCACTTCGAAAAATCAGACCAATGGTATTTTTCATTTGACAATGGAATTTTTTTCTCAAAACTGCTTCCATATCAACACCATCTTTGTAGTATCTTTAAGAAAATGTAATGAAGAATTTCACTAACTGTGGTCAGTGGAATGCTTGTGGTCCACAAAGCACTTGTTGGTCACATGGAACTGGTTTCTCCTCATTTCCAACTAATAAATCACATAGAGAAACAGCCTAAAATTACATTAAATAATTACCTAATATCACTTGTGCATGTAAGCAATGGCTGTAGCTGCCTCAGGAATGTTACGCAATCAAAAATGAGAGGGCAGTCTGATTTTGAGGGGTTGCTGTATTAAAATGTAACCTATACTCTGAAACAGTGGGAACCCCTGATCTAAGGAACAAATGTATAAAAACTGAAAAGCATGGTCCATATGATCCCTTCTGTTATAAGAAAAGCCACATGAATTTCTCTAACCTAGGACATTATATTGATCCCTTACTATTAAGTACAGACATATAAAATGTTACAGACTGTTTAGGAAGACGGAAATTTTTTAAAAAATCCACTCATTTCATATTCTGTAATTGTTACCAACCCCACAAGAAAACCTACCACCACCAGATCAGTGAATTCTATATAAGAACCAGAATGCAACAATAAGCACAATGGGGCAAGAAGAAAGCTAAGATGTTAGATAGCTCTGTTTCAGCTTCAATGACCATGATATATAAATCTCATTTTAAATCTGAATCCAAGGCAGTAAACATTTTCCATGCTTTCCTCCTCTCTAAATACATGTGCATATTATACTTAACATCTCTATAGCACACAGAGTTGTAAAAGTATCCTTCTAATGCCAAATAAGCCAGTTGGTTGAAACAAGGTCATGTGACCCATAGTAGCTGTTGCCTTAGTAGCATATCAGTGATTCATTTTTAAACTTAAAATAGATGACCTAAAATAGAAAAGTCTCATTAAAGGATGCTGATGCTGCACCACATTTAATACAAAGAAATCATGGGTCAGACACTCAGCTATAGCAATGAGTATATAGTGCAGCGTAGGTTGAGAGCACAGGTCTGAAGGTAGTGGAAAGCTTGTTTTTGCACTGGGGCTGTTGTGAACAGGAGCAGTCCTCAATAGCAGCTTAGAGTAACCTGAGAAGCTGAAACTGCAGCTGGGGATCAATCTAACATAGAGGAATCTCAGACATGTGCCCTATGCTGCCAGCAGGAAAGTGGGATGATACAGGAGCCCTTTGGTGGTTCTATGCCTTTAGAGCAGTGGTTTTCAAACTTTTTTTCTGGGGACCCGGTTGAAGAAAATTTTTGATGCCTGCGACCCAATGGACCTGGGGTTGAGGGGTTTGAGGTGCAGGAGGGGCTCTGGGTTTGGGGGGATCTCAAGGCTGGGGCAAGGGGTTGAGGTGCAGGAGGGAGTCAGGGCTTTGGGCTGGGGGTGCAGGCTCTGGGGTGGGGCTGGGGATGAGGGGTTGCGGGTGCAGGAAGGGGTTCCAGGTTTGGGGGGGGGAGGGCTCAGGGCTGGGGCAGGGGCGTGAGGTTGGGGTGTGGACTTACCTCTGGTGGCTCCTGGTCAGCGGCACAGTCAGGATGCAGAGGCAGGCTTCCTGCCTGTCCTGGCACCGCAGACTGTGCTGTGCCCCAGAAACTGCCAGCAGCAGGTCTGGCTCCTAAGCAGAGGCATGCAAAAGTGGCTCCGCACAGCTCTCGCCCACAGCACCGTCCCTGCCAGCTCCCATTGGCTGGGAGTGCAGAGCCAGTGCTTGGGGCACGGCAGCGCGCGAAGCCAGACCCGCTGCTGGCCGCTTCTGGGGAGCGGCGCGATGTCGGAACAGGTAGGCACTAGCCTGCCTTAGCTGGGCAGCACTGCCGACGGCACTTTTAACGTCCCGGTCGGCGGTGCTCACCAGAACCACTCGGGTCCCTGGGTGCTGAGCAAGGTGACCCAGTTCCTTACATGCCACGACCCAGTACTGAGTCGCGACCCAAACTCTGAAAAACACTGCTTTAGAGGATGCCCTTTGCACATTGTGGTGATCGTCCCATGGCAGACTGACCAGAATCTACTGGCAGCATGATGAAAAAGGGATGTGCAACACTAAAGGATCTTAAAAAGAAAAGGAGTACTTGTGGCACCTTAGAGACTAACAAATTTATTTGAGCATAAGCTTTCGTGAGCTACAGCTCACTTCATCGAATGCAAGCTCACAAAAGTTTATGCTCTAATAAATTTGTTAGTCTCTAAGGTGCCACAAGTACTCCTTTTCTTTTTGAGAATACAGAATAACACGGCTGGTACTCTGAAAATAAAGGATCTGGCTCTATAGTTGAACAACATGAATTCATTTCACATTTGGGAACACATTTTCAAACACTGGTCTCCATTTTTACTGGTGCAAAACTATAGGCACAAATATTGTGCTTGTAGATTTGGTTGCTTCGATACATAAATGATCTACATTTCTGGGCACATACCTATGGATGCAAAACTGCACCTACAAAAATGGAGACCCAGTTTAGGGTTGGCTGAAAATCTGACCCTAAATTAGTAGTTGTGACAAACTTTTATACCTACCTTTTTTAGTGCTATCATTCACATTGTTTGGGGAGGAAAACATCAAATAAATATAGCCCCAAAATAAAAGAAAATTAAAACAGTTTAAAACACACCCCAGGCTACCAGCAGACATAATCAAACAATATGCTGAGTAAAAATAAATAGCTAAAACAGATGCAAGGTACGAATTAAAAACTAATTTACATTTATTCAAGATGAATCCTGATCTTAAGAGTTAGATCTCTGGTACTGGCTGAGACAAAGTCATTTCACCTTGTGATTCAAAACGGACCACTCAGCCAAGGCTATCTAATAATAAGGCGCTTTTAATTAAAAAAATCTTAAATGGGATGATGAATGATACATAAACTGGCATTTACAAGTTTATAGGAAAAAAAATATTAACCTTGGGATGAAAAAATACCTCCTACTAAGCAATAATTATCTAGGCCTCTGATGCTGGATATTATGAAGTCCTTTTTTCAATGTACAGGAAAATTTATTTCTCTATATACCCTATTTTCCAGTTAGTGTGATATGCAGAGAGAAGATATATACATACATGAACAAACAATATACAGTTCACTTCTGTTTATCCACATGGCCTGGGAGGATGGTGATATATTTGGGGCGCAGGGGGAAGGGGAGGATGACCACGGGCATAGCCACACGTAAGCTTATGTGGGTGCAGCTTGTGTCCATGTGGGAGCAGAGAAGAGGCAGGAAGTGGTAAGACCCTGCGTGCCAGGTCACAATGCCACTCAAACATGGCCTGGCCACCGCTCCATTATGACAACAGGGTAGTGGTTCTACCATTCCACTATACAGCTCTGGTTACTGCTTCCCCATTAGCTGAAGCGTGCCTCAACCCATCCATGGCCCTGGGTGGGTGGCAGATGTTGGCTACAATCAGATTAGCTATGGGAGATGGGAGCCCATGGGAAAGGAGTAACCAGAGCTAGGTACTAAGGGGCAGAGTCCCTCTTTTGCATGAGTGTGAGAGAAGTGGTTGCACCAAGGAGTGGTCTTGAGACCTGGTAAACAGGCTCGTGCTGCCAGTCCCAGACTTTGTTCCGTTCCCCATCAATACAAGCTCCATCTCTAGCCAATGCCACCCAGCTTAGGTTACCTCCTTTCCTATTGCTGGAGGCCCTGCCCTCATCCATTGCTGGGTGGGCACCCTGGCCAAAACTTGATTGGCTTTCAGCTTCCAAACAATCAGAGCCTGTGTTGATCGGGAAGCAGAGATGTGTAGAATGATATGAGGTGGCAGCATTTCTACTAGAAGACTATGCCCCTTGGCAACCTGGCTCAATCTTAAAAAAATAAAATAAAAAATCTAGGGCTGAGACCCCTCCATAACTGCCATCACTTTAAGAACTGTGGCTGGTGCTCAGATTTGGGTGAGCCTGGGTGCTAAGACCCACCCAACCCACTCGTGACTATACCACAGAGGCAGAGATAGATTTAGGGAGGCCGAGCACCCTCTAGTCTTAGCCACCTGCTGCCTATGCCTGGGGGACAGCCAAAACTTTTGGATAACTGGGCATTTGGATAAATAGAAATGTTATTAACTAACATAGGGGGACATACTGTGGATTCGGATAACTATGATTTTTGGATAGAGAATTTGGATAATTAATTATACTGTATATATTGTTTTAATATACATACTATACACACTGTAACAATTACTCCGAATATTAGCAACGTATATTTTGTATTTAAATACAAATGATGTATAGTTTATTTTGCCTGTTTCTCAGAAGATTTAATCTAATCCAAGTTAAATGAAAAGGAATGCTCATCCCTTTTGTTTTCTGCTCCATTTCAGATAGTCATTTTGAATTACTAGTCACATATTAAGAGACTATCTTCCTAAGAGAACCATTTTCTCACACAAATATTTCAGTTTCATGATGCTGACAACAACAATCACCATCAGTTTTGCTTACTCATTTACAAGCTATTTTATGTTGCTTCTATTAAAAATAATAAATATTTGAAAAGAACAAAACCTTTTAAAAGCATAGTTTTAGCTTCTCACACAGGGTGAACACTCATTTTTAGCTACAGGAGTTATGAATGAAGGATTCCCTCATATGGGGACAGAGTAGAATGAGATTTGTCCATGACACAGATTTAAGATTCAAATGACCATATAGCTATTAAAAGATAAGAAATTTTGTGACATTTGGAGTAAGAATCATGATATCAGTTCCAAATCATAGCATTTTCTACAAAGCCATCAATCAGTTAACTGAACAGAGAAATTTCAACTATTTTTAAGAGAATTTAATACACTTGATTTCTTGACATTTCAAACCATAATAGATTCAACATCAAAAGTCTAGCTGAGTAAGTTACAATACCGAATGTTCAAACAAGATGACTTGTGCCTGACTTTCAGGCATTGTTCGTTTGATAAGCCTAATTTGGTCCAATTCTGAACTTCTCACTGGATTTTGAGGTAGGGCCTGAACTGGGTCAGTTACATTGTATCTACCAGCCTCGTAAAAACTGCAGTACTCTATTCCTTTTTCCACTGAGTCTCCCAGCATCTTCAGCTTCTGTCTAAACTGGACGATTTTATAGATTAGAAAAAGGATCACAGCACAAGCCAAAATGAAAAAGGCTAATAAAATGTCAAATGCCTGATTCAGTTTCTCCATCTGCTGTGTACAGATTAGAGATGTTTTTAAGGATACAGATGCAGCATCTGGAGGAAATACACTTTTCTGTTCCATGGTCAAGTTAACTGGCACAATCTGTGCAGCTGTTTGCACTGGTAATACTGATAACACTGTTGTTGCTTCTGATGGATTCCCAGCAGCATATTCTTCATAAAGAAATTGACTGGCAGATGTGGTTGGAGCTCTTCCCCAGAAAGTAACATGTTTAGTTCCAGCATTTTCCAAATGTACAAGTGTATCATATTTGGTTACCATATGCCATGCCATCACTAAAGTGGTGGTGCTATGATGGATACCTACAGATGCTACACTCCAGGAGGTTTCTGGATTAGTGGTAGTGATAGCACAATTTGTAAATTCGGTCCATTTAACATAATGCAAAGGTCTACCACGCAATCTTGAGGGATTTTGACAATGGATTTTGACAGAGATTGACGAGGATGCTAGCCAATTACGTAGCCCAAGCAGTGTGCAGCTACAGTTCCAAGGGTTGTTATTTGCCTGTAGATGAGTTAATGAAACCAAAGGCTTGAGCACTTTCGGCTGCAAATAGGTAAGGTTATTAGATGCTAGATTTAGAATCTTCAAAGAAGATCCCATTTTTTCAAATGTATTATCACCAATACTAACTATTTTATTCTTGTCTAGTTGCAGGTACATTAAATTATGCAACAAAGTAAAAGTGTTGGAATTTACATGTTCTAAATCATTATGGCTTAAAATTAACTTTTTAAGGTTATCTAATCCAGCAAATCCATTCATGACAATGCTTTTTATTTTTGCACTTTTTAAAGATAGATATTCAAGCCTGACAAGTCCTTTAAATGCAAACGGATGTATTGACCCCACAGGGTTGTGAGACAAGAAAAGTCTTTCTAGATTTTTAAGTATTCCAATGGCCTTTGATGGCACGTGTGTTAAATTATTACCTTCAAGGTACAAATACACAAGGTTTCCAAGGTGATGAAATGCTGTATCTGATATCCGTGAAATCTTATTGTTGGCTAGGTTAAGCGTTTGAAGACTAATCATTCCCAAGAAAGTGCCACTTCCAAGGATACTGAGGCGATTTCTTTTAAGCGTTAAGTATCGAACTGAAATAAGACCACTAAATAATCCTCTAGGAACAAAAGATATTTGATTATTCTGAAGGTATAAACAATGAAGATCTGAAAGCCCTTCAAATATTCCTGGATCCAAACGTTTTATGTGATTATTATTTAGATGTAAGTAGCACAGTTCACTAAGTTCAACAAAAGCCTTTGGATGCACATATGAAATGCTGGAATTATCCAAATAGAGCACAGCAAGCTTCTGAAGGCCTGTTAATTCATTTGGAATTACATGCGATATATTATTTCCACTGAGGTATACAAGTACTGTACTTTTTGGAAAGTTCTTTGGAATGCTTGAAAGACCTAAGTTACGACAGTTAACTTGTTTCCCAGTGCAGAGCTGGCAGACGGATGGACAGCCAAGTACCTCTTTCTGGAGCAGCAACAAAAGAAAACAGTTAAGGATATGGAGGAATACTCGTGTGCAGGGTACAGAACTTTGAAGTCCACACACATCCCTGTCTTTGGCTTTTCCAGTCATCTCTGACTTAGCTATTAGAGATAAAAAAAATCAAATTTGTAAATATTGCTCATTTAAAGTTCTAAGATTCTATTCGTATAATTTTAAAAAACAGATGCAACTCTTTGTGATATTTTTAATATTCTCAGACAATATGCCATATAAATGAACAAACAGTACTTTTAAATACTGTATTCTACATCTTCTCTCTTTGGACACTAAATAGTTAAACATCATAAAGATTATACTGCTTCTTAGGCAATTACCCTATATTAGAAGGGCACTAAAATAGAGTAAAAGAATGGTAAAATGAATACGCTTGCCAAGCTAGTTGAAATATATTTAATCAGTTATCATTTCAAAGATTTAAAAGCAACTAATTCTATCATAACAATGGCTTTCAGTAAATTCAACACATTGCAAATTCTTTTCCTTATTTTTATATATTTGAAAATGCCTAGTTTTAAAGCTTTACTGGCATTCATAAAGAAATACTTACTGACTTATTTTATACATTGAAACAAGTTTCTTTTCATCCATAACCTTTCATTCCTGTTTTGAATTTTACTTTCAAGTGAGCCCAGTTAAGGTCAAAATATATACAAAAAAAAAAAAAAAAAAAAAGTCTTACCGCAAACCACAACTTCATATTATCGGTTGGCTTGTGAGGCAGTTCATTTGATTTACTTACAAGTTTACTTTTTAGACTTGCTGTAAGACTTTTTAGACTTGCTGTAAGACTTCTGTAAGCAACATTCCGGTTTATCAGCGCACTCACTTTTTGCCCTAGGATTTGCAACTGTTCACTCAGGAAACAGTCTTCCTATAGGCTCTTCCACAGTGAGTGGTTAAAGAGAGGTTACCATGGATACAGGAAATAGTGAGACAGGAAGTCATTTTATCTGTGCTTCTAAAGTATTGTTGGAAAGGAAATCTCAGCTATTTATTTCTAGAAAACCCAGAAATAAATTCACTTGTTGTAGTACATAGCCATTACAGTTCATACATGCTTACTTTTTAAAAACTGGTGGTGCACAATAAGAGTTGTATGTCAGATGGCTAGGTAGATCTAAATATTACAGAGTAAAACTTATCTATTGTGATAACACACATCGTAATCGTAAAAGTTATTTTCACAAACAGAAAACAAATCATTTTAAGCATTTACACAGTTCACTGACTACAGAGAAAAGTTGTTCCTAATGCAAACAACATAATTAATGTACTCTTACCAAGTAAGAAAGTACTGTCTATAAAAGGGGACTTGGGCTGTGATCTCATCAGGTCTCACAAATTAAGCAAAATCAGGTCTGGTCAGTATTTGGATGGAAGAACAACGAAATCTTAGATTGTGTAGGAAATGGTGTGGTGAGACAACAGAAAGCAATATTTTATCTAAGTCATTTTTTTGAACTTGATCCAGCATATCATAACATGCCATTATGTTGCTGGGGCTGTCCGATGCAATTTTCAAAAGCACGCAAGTGACTTTCAATGAGATATGTGCTACTAAATCACTTAGGTTCTTCTGAAAATACTACGCATCATCTTTGGGAGGTATACAAATGGAAGTTGTGAAATCTTGCGATAATTAAAAGATCTTGTGATAATTACTCTCTCTGCATCCATGAAATCTGTGCATCCATGTTCCAGCCAAAATTAATATGACTGCCTAAAATTCTCCCTGCAGCTTCAACTGGAGAAGTTATTCTTGTCCCCTCTTAAAACATAGTTTTGTAGTTATGTATGTAGAATTCATGACATATCTCACATATAACTTTTTATGTTTCAGCAGCAATTCAGTAATCCCTGTGATAAGCAGGGCTGGTAGCACCGCCCGATATTAAGGTTGCCTGACACTTCCCACATGATTCAGTTGCTTAAAGCTTTCCCAAACTGCAGTGTTACAGCTGAAATTTTCCATGCTGCATATCTGCCTGACGCTGAACTTTTTTGGGGGAAAAATTCAGTTAAAACAGTTCTGCCATTTCCATGAATGAGGTTAGGGATAAACTCATTGGTTTGTCCATATTAAAACACGCTGGTAACTTTTTCTTTGAGGATATCTAATGTCCTCTTGCTTTGGAACAGGGACTTAAAGTTGGCTGGGGAGGGAGGGCTTTGGCTCAGAGATGTGTGTGTTTGCCATCGCTGTGAAAATCCACTCAAATTTGGCCAAATAATAAATAAGCCTCTGAAAAATATCACTTCACACATGATCTCTGAAGAGTCTGTCCTTATTGAGAATGCATATTACATACAAAAACACTGTGCTAATAACATTAAGGCTGCAAAGTCAAACACTCAAAAGTCAGAAAACTGCCAAAATTAGGTTGCTTGTTGAACCTTAATTTGCTCCTCTGTCAATGTGCATTAAGATAATCTTTATTTACATGATTGTGCGCTATTTTTCTATAGGACTTTGCCTCATTTAGTGCACAAGATGGATAATATTCTCTGAATGGGTATCTAGTCACTATTCCATTTTATCCGCCTCATTCAATGTATGTCCCCATGTCTTATTTACTGCATAGTATTTAAAACCTGCACTGAATAAAAAATTATTAAATTTCCTCAGAGGCTTTTCTATGACACCCAGAACCATTCACAAACATTAATGAATTTATCTTTACAACACCTCTCCAATGTAAGATATTATCCCCACTTTATAGATAAGAAATTGAACCATAGGAAGATTAAGAACAAATTTTTCAAGCGTCCATTAACTTTGGGAGCCCAACTTGAGAGGCCTAAGGGCCTGATTTTTCAACGCATGTAACATTTTATAAGCATTTTATTCACCTAGAACCATGTTGACCCAACATGGGTCATCAGCAGAAATAGGAACTTTAGATCCACAGACCTTTACCATTTGAGCTAACAAGTAGCAGTAGTAAGTTGTTATCTTCTATGTGGCTCAGCCACCAAAGGTGGCTTTGACAGTAAGTTTCACAGGTATTTGCTAAACAGAACCAGAATCAACTCAAGTCAATTGCAGATTCTGGATGTTAGCATGCTCTAGCTATTATAGATCCTTCTGCCTGTTTCTGGCCTCAGACTGCTCCTATCCCTTCCCTGGTTCCTACTTCTTTTCCCCCCTTGACTCCTCACTCCTTTGCATTCTAGTCAGGCTGCTTTCTCCTTTTTCTCCTTGCAGCTAGGAGGGGAGAATTTATAGCGTAGAAGAGAGAGTCTCCCTGCTTTCAGTTCTGGCATGTGGCACCACAACTGCTCTTGGCAGCTAGAATGAGCAATTCCAGGAAAAGTCCTGCCCAGTCCCTGAATCTCCAGAACAGACCACACAATCCCTCTGTGGGGATGTCCTGTGTGCACTCCAGTTATCACACAAAAGTTGTGTGGCAATGGAGGATTCTCAGTGCAGATGAGTCTTTGGAATATAATGCTGCCTACCTCTAACAAACCTCTACAGTGGATGGGCAAACTGTAATTTTTCAGCAAAAACAACAAGGAGTACTTGTAGCACCTTAGAGACTAACAAATTTATTTGGGCATAAGCTTTTGTGGGTTAAAACCCATTTCATCAGATGCATGGAGTGGAAAATACAGTAGGCAGGTATATATACACAGTACCTGAAAAGATGGGACTTGCCTTACCAAGTGGGGGGTCAGTGCTAACGAGACAATTCAATTAAAGTGGAAGTGGGCTATTCTCAACAGTAGAATACCAAGGGAGGAAAAATCACTTTTGTAGTGGTAATGAGGCCAATGTAATCAGGGTAGCCCATTTCAAACAGCTGACAAGAAGGTGTGAGTAACAGTAGGGGGAAATTAGTATGGGGAAATTAATTTTGGGTAGAGTTTCATGGGGACAGCAAAGGGCAAATGCTCAATATCATGGTGAAACCCCCAGACAAATTTCAAGTTTCTGCTCCAATACCTGGATGCACTAAAGCTTCTCAATGAAATGGTTGTTAAAAAAATCAACCAACCAAACAACCACAACCAAACACAGGCAAAACAACATACTTTTCCCTAACTTTGTTCTCAGAAACCACTGAACCGTCTTTGCTAAAACTTTACAAAAAATCATCCCAAGGCACACATCTGGCAGGGAAAATTTAAGCCCTAAATTTGGCAAGGTTGTAAGCAATTGAACATAATGTCTTATAATGGAAACACCTTAACTACAGGTGTTGCTACCAGCCTCGCCTATAAAAAAAGGTATTTTTGGCACAAAAATGCTGACATGGAGATAACTTCCAGCCACTTTAAACTCTGCTCCAAACTGCATTATTCATCTCAGTAAGGTTATGGTAAGTATATGTATAGTCAATGTATATACAAGTTTAAAGGGTTGATTTATCATCTTTCCTACATGTTTGCTTCATAAAATTATGGATGTTTCTTTGCAGAAGGTAAATTGGTACAAATTCTTTGTAGAAGGCCAAATTCTTTCCATTACTTTAACAGAGTAACATCCTCAGAGATTTTTAACCTGGGATTTTCAACAATCCTTCCCCTCTGTATGAAATTTTGGTTTCCTAAGGTTTGTCACCCTTTTAAATAATCCCAACACTGCAAATGGAACAGATGAAACAGCATTCCAGCTGCACAGAATGTTGCTGACAGATCCTTAGTATGCCCAATCAGTGGGCATTTTTATAGAAGCTTTTGTAGAGTACATAGTAAACACTGAATAACAATGAAGTGGGTTTTAGCCCACGAAAGCTTATGAGCAAATACATTTGTTAGTCTCTAAGGTGCCACAAGTACTCCTCGTTTTTTAATGATTTCTTATGTTTCTTGTCCCTTCAGTGAGCATACAGATCTTTTGCAGCAATTTGTAGTAGTAATGTAGTTTGCCATTTTAGTACAAATTGTCTTTTGTGCTTAATTTCACAGCTGTTGTAACTAAACAACCAGTAGTACCAAAAGTTAATTTCAAACTATTTTTTGGAGAGGATTAAAAAAGTAACTGTCACTTTTTTTGAAACACAGCAATTCCAACATAAATGGAAGGTACATGAAAAAGAAGTTAGAATGTCTTGTTAATTCATGGACAGAGCACTGCAAATGTCATGTACACACCAACTGAGTAGTCTGCAAATGATAGTGTGTGGTTGCAACAGCTTGCTCATACACTGTCATTCGCAAGATCTGGGCTTAAAACAACATTACCTATAAAAATAGCCAAAGGCCTACATTTTTCATTTTCACCTTATAAAAGCAGTAATGGCCTTGTAACAGAGTATCTCTTGGACAAATAAATGGCTGGAGCAAACAGGCTGAGGCAAAATGAACTATGCCCACCTAGCCTTTTATCCCAACTAAATGCACCATGGTTTGGTCATTATTGCTGAAGTAATTACTCTGATTTTGCAATCTGTATTTTGGATTTTTTTTCCAGATTTATTTCTCAATTTAGCAAATATTATTTATATAGTGCCATAAATATGCATGATATGTTACTGACAAAAAGTACAATACTTGCCCTGAAAATCTTTCAATCTTGAGTGTTAGTTCTGCAAGCTGTTTTGTAATGACAGATGCTAACACAAATTTCTAGGGAAACAAAAATTAGAATGTCCAAATCTAGTAGAATAGTGGCAAGGCCATATTCATAAAATGCATGCTGTACTTCTTTTGTACATTAGAAGCAAACACTGTCTTGTTGTCTTTAAAAGAAAACCATAAATTACTGTCTGAAATTATCTTGTTGTACATAGGCATAACAATAATTCTATTTTAACATTACAGGTAAAACATAGCTCCTTTTGGGTTTTACTTTCCAAATTCCACTTAAGCACATTGCAGAATTCCCCATCAGAGAGTATAAAGAGTG